TTCCGTTGGTTCACCCCACAATGGCCGCTGTGGCCGGTGTGCTGAGGCAATCCGAAGCCAGGAGCCAGGTGCTTTCCTTGGTCTTCCATGTGGGTGCAGGGCCCAAGGACTTGGGCCATCCTCCACTGCACTCCCTGGCCAGAGCAGAGAGCTGGACTTGAAGAGGAGCAATAGGAACAGACTCTGGTGCTCTGACCGGGACTAGAACCCAGTGTGCTGGCGCCGCAGGCGGAGGATTAGCCTATTGAGCTGTGGCACCGGCCAAACAATAAAACAGAAAAGCAATGCCTGATAGGAATGACAAAATCAATGGAGAGCAAGATCTTTTTTTTAACTTTTATTTAATGAATATAAATTTCCAAAGTACAGCTTATGGATTACAATGGCTTCCCCCCCATAACATCCCTCCAACCCGCAACCCTCCCCTTTCCCACTCCCTCTCCCCTTCCATTCACATCAAGAATCATTTTCGATTCTCTTTATATACAGAAGATCAGTTTAGCATACATTAAGTAAAGGTTTCAACAGTTTGCTCCCACACAGAAACATAAAGTGAAAAATACTGTTTGAGTACTAGTTATAGCATTAGATCTCAATGTACAGCACACTAAGGACAAAGATCCTACATGAGGAGTAAGTGCACAGTGACTCCTGTTGTTGACTTAACAAATTGACACTCTTGTTTATGGCATCAGTAATCACCCTAGGCTCTTGTCATGAGCTGCCAAGGCTATGGAAGCCCCTTGAGTTCACTGACTCTGATTATATTTAGACAAGGCCATGGTCAAAGTGGAAGTTCTCTCCTCCCTTCAGAGAAAGGTACCTCTTTCTTTGATGACCCATTCTTTCCACTGGGATCTCACTCGCGGAGATCTTTCATTTAGTTTTTTTTTTTTTTTTTCCCCAGAGTGTCTTGGCTTTCCATGCCTGAAATACTCTCATGGGCTTTTCAGCCAGATCCGCATGCCTTAAGGGCTGATTCTGAGGCCAGAGTGCTATTTAGGACATCTGCCAGAATCTGAACTTTCAACATGCATTGTTTATATACATGAGACCCCACAGGGTTCCTTTGAACAGACACATTGGAGGGATACACTAATTACCAGAACAGCTGCTGAAGGGGCCTAAGAGATTGCAAATGAAGGAGACATGAGCTCTACTTTCCAGAAATGCTAACTTTTCCATGAACGAGGCATTCACCCCCTGAAACTGTGCAGAGAATGTATGATGTTTGTATATGTGCAGCTAGCTTTTCTAGTTTTTTGAAAGAGCCTATTCCACAGAAGCATTAGGAATTACAGCTACATTTTTCTTTTCTTTATTTTAAAGATTTAATAATTTTTTAAAAGATTTATTTTATTTTTTTGAAAGACAGAGTTACAGAGAGAGGTAGAGAAACAGAGAGAGGTCTTGGCTCTGCTGGTTCACTCCCCAGATGACCACAATGGCCGGAGCTGTGCCGATCCGAAGACAGGTGCCAGGATCCAGGAGCAAGGAGCCAGGAGCCAGGAGCTTCTTCCAGGTCTCCCACGCGGGTGCAGGGGCCCAAGGACTTGGGCCATCTTCCACTGCTTTCCCAGGCCACAGCAGAGAGCTGGATTGGAAAAGATGCAGCCGGGACCAGAACCAGTGCCCATATGGGATGCATACTTCAGGCCTGGGTGTTAACCTGCTGCGCCTCAGCGCTGGCCCCCAAAGATTTAATCATTTATTTGAAGGCAGAGTTACAGAGAGGCAGAGGCAGAGGCAGAGAGAGAGAGAGAGAGAGAGATAAAATCTTCCATCCATTGGTTCACTCCCTAGATGGCGGCAAAGGCTGGAGCTGCACCCATCTGAAGCCAGGAGCCAGGAACTTCTTCCAGATCTCCCATGCAGGTGCAGGGGCCCAAAGACTTGGGCCATCTTCCACTGCTTTCCCATGTTATAGCAGAGAGCTGGATTGGAAGTGGAGCAGGCAGGACTTGAGCTAGCGCCCATATAGTGCTCATATGGTAAAGTACTGCAGGCCACAGCTTTACCCTCTAAGCTACAGCACCAGCTCCTACAGCTATATTTTCCTTTGTTTCACCGACAGTTCTCAAATTTTTCTTCAGCCAGGGATATTCAAAATTTGATTTTTCTGCATTTTGCCTCAGCACATTTATGAGACAGAGAAACAAGGTGCTCTATAATAAGAAGCTTCTTGTGAACCTTACTTTCCTAAGACACCAAAATCCATGTACTTGCTTTGCTTCCCACTTTGGTCTTATCTTGAGTCTCTGCTATTCCACAAAGGAATTTATAAAATGACAGCTGGAAATGGCCTAGCAGGTCATTCTGTTCATGCACTGGATTTGTTTTATTTTTAAAGAAGTTTCTGAAATATTTCCTAATATGCCAAAGGGTCCACACAGCCAAGGCTGTAAGTTATTAGTTTTCTTACTATATCTTTGCACTCAAATTTAAAAATAATATCCTACTATCAAATGTAAAGGAAGAAGGAAATAACTGATCTAATTTACTGAGGTTTTTGTTGACATTTTCTTGGTTTTCATAAAACATCAGCAAGTGGTCTACTGTCCTTATTACTAAAAATAATATTAGGTTTAAAATAATTGTGCTGTTGCTTGAAATAGTAGATGAGAATACCCTTCACAAATGATGCACTGGCATGCAGAAGAATCTAGGGCACTTAAAACTACAGACCATCTTGGTTTCACCCACCTTCATCCTAGTTCAAACAATTAAGGATTCATTCTGCTATGTTCTGTGGGAAGAGAAATTGTTGGTCTTACTTTATCTGTGTTGCATGCTATTATTTGTGACATGAGGTGACAGAGATATATTGTGTCTACATTGAGATTTGGTCCAGATAGTCATCCTAAGGACAACACAAATTGCCTTAAAATAATCAATGCACTTGAATTTTGTGTGCTTAATATGTCACAGGAGAATTGATAGTTCTTGCCACATCCTGGGCCAGGAACAGGAAGAGTATAGTAATACAAGGGATAGAATTAGACACTTCAGTGAAAATTTTTCAAAGGACAGGTTTATAAATGTTGATGAACATTTAGTGAGATTCCTCCAAAGAACAGAAGAGTGGCTTCCCCTCCTCATTCGCAGGAAAGAGCTGTGAATGTTGAGAAGAATATGAGATAGGGAACAGCAGAATTTTAAAGAGGGTCATTTTTGAAGGGAATATTTAGGAATAATGCTAAGGGCCCAAGAATCTTTGCAACAATGAAAATGGATCAACATTTCGTTTGTTTGTTCACAAAGAAATTTTGCTACTAGGGAGGGAGGCACAGATGATTTAGTTTCCCTGTGCAAACTTTCTGTACCCAACTGGCCTTCAAGTCCTACAGATAAAGCACTGGATATCACTGAAATTCATCCCAATTCCACTAAAATCTTGATTCTTTGGTGGAATTTAAAATATGCTAGATCAAATTTTATTATGCAAATAAAATACAAAAAGAAATATAGAAAGTTACATTAGTTTGAATCTAGCCTTATATATGGGTGTGTGGGTGTATTGTAGATTGTAGTCTCTGATAACAAACTAAGATAAATTTCAAAATAGAAGTGTTTCTAAAATTAATGGTTGAACATTATCAGAAATAAACAAAGAGCTCAGTTTTCCCAAGGTATATTGATTTTCTAGTTCAATTCAATGGAGAAGACATTGTGCTAGGGAGTGTAGCAGAGTCCATAGATGAGTAACATGTGCTTCCAACTTAGAGGCACTTACCATCGGTGATAGAGACAAAGGTTTTCAGCTCACCATGCTAAAAGGCTAGTGTTGATAAGTGATTGTGCAGCAAAGAGTTAACTCTGGAGGTATGGGTAGCTCCAACCACGCACATTCAGCAGACACATATTTTGAATACTGGCTCTTGTCTGGCTGCTTGTAGAACCTAAGCCAAGTCCTTGAAATGTTCTGTTTGATGACAATGTTTTGTATACTTGAGGCCTAGGGGTATGTTGCCATAATCTGACAAAATTACTCATGTTGATGAAGTAATATGTCCTGAAGACCCATTTTGCATTTGGAAGGAGGCTGGAGTAAGCAAGTGAGTTCAGAGACATTGGGTTCTGTTTGCCTACAAGTCCGACCAGGCTTGAATGAGCTTTCTTGTGGATAACATTTTGCTGGTGTTGTTACATACCATTGCTGGAGAATTAAGTGCTTCCTGTGCAACTCTACTGGGAGAGGATCCCTACAAGCTTAAACTAATTTCTCTTGAACCTTGCCCTATTTGCTTTACTAATTGTAATCCACCTCTTTTCTGCAGTAAATCATAATTGAATATTCAGTTTCTGAGTCCTATTAGAATACTTTTGGCATATCATTGAGACTGGAGTTGACCTTGGGGACCTCAGACCCACAGTGTAATTTTTTTTTAGTGATAAATAAATGCCAAATGATTCTCAATTCTTTATTTTCATACTTTCTGAATTTGTTACCTGAATTCAAAGAGCATTGATGTATTTATTACCTTTAGCCCTGATGAGCTAACATGAGTCTTGCTCAGTGTATCTCCAGGCCTATAGACTTCTTGTTGGTCTTGTACTCTCCTAAACTTATTGTAAAGCTGATGCCCCATAGGCCTTGGGTAGGAGGGTGCTTGTTTCAAGCTCCTACTAGAATTTCCTAGAAAGGAGGCTCCTCCTCCTTTACTAACACCTCATAGAGCCTCAGACCATGCCCCATCAAGGCAATGTCTATTCCAGTGAGATCCCTTTCTACCCTCTGCCCTCAAGGAAACATTTGTCAATATCAGGAGACAATTGTTAAAACTGGGGGAGGCAGTTACTGGCATCTAATAGGCAGAGGCCAAAGATACAGCTCAACATCCTACCTTCCACAAGAAAGCCCTTCACAATAAAGAACTATCAGGTTTCAAGCATAAACACTGCAAAGGTCAAGAAACAGTGATTTAGATGAATACTCTAGTGTAACAAATTTAATCAAAGAATATTTACTTATTAAAAAACTGAAAATAAGATAGAAAAACTTGTGAAAAAATGTATCTTCATTTAATCATACTGGGATGTTTTAAATGAGGTTCTTAAAACTCTTGGAGAAAAAAGTGATAAAAAAATTTGGCAACAGAAATTTATTGATTAGTTTTCAATGTTAGGTACAACATATATAACTTCATCACATGATTACAATTCAATATTTGTGCTTTGTAGGGTAAGTAAACATTTATTCAAGCACAAGAAAATTCTACACATAATATTCTTGAATTTTTTAAAAAATAAATATATCATTTCCATTTAGTAGCACAAAGAAGCACACTTCAGTTTGATATAATGGGTATATTTTAAAATTTGACATTGGTTAATGTGTCAAATTAAACATATAGCCTGAATTTGAATTATGTGTATATCAAATACCCAATGTACTGGGAATGGTTCCTGGGGTATGTGGGTGGAGAGGGATGTGTGGCTTACAATGAAACTTTCTTGGTTTTTCACGAGATGGGATAATAGATCAGTTGGCCAGTACTGGTGACATTGGGCTTTGTTCACATATAAATTACTTTGAAGTCTTTAGAATCTTTAGAATAAAAGTATAGCATTTCAGAAAATATTTTACAAACACCTGTTTGATGAAGAAAATAAAAGTTAATGTAGCTCACTTAGTTGGAAGAAAAGAAAACTTATTAGGGAAATATTAGATACCTCTGTTTTTCAAAAGAAAGTGTGCATTATGAAAATACTTAAAATATGATAAGGTATTCTCTTTCCTAAACTTAATGCAAATATATTTGAACCAGGAAAAATGTATCATCCTTACTGATTGTGTTAAATGCAGGCTAGTACTCTGTGTACATCATTTTGAATGTCCTTGAAGTAGCATGTCTGCTATATGTGGGTATGAAGGTCATAATCAGAGTAAAAATCAACCACAAAAGCTCAGTGTACATATATGAGTTTAGACCACAATCTCTTCATATTTTATAAACCTCTATGATGACTTGATATATTACTTAAAATAATAATCTCTCCATACTTTATAATAAAAATAAAATAAAAGTTTATATTTTGTATAATTCAATATTCAAGCAGAGTTTATCTCAAAACACTTCTTAGTAAGGAAGTTTTCTCTAAAGTTCAGATTTCTGTAATTATGTGCCCAAGTAATATAGTGATGGAAACAAAGAAATCTTCAGGATTCCCCTCCCTCAGTTGAACACCAATAGCTTTCTGATTAATTAGAAACCCATATATTGTTGGGGAAAATGGGGCATTTATTTGTGGTTCACAGTAAGTAAATGAAATCAACCTCAGTAGAGAACATTGATACACTTTTGCATTTCAACAATAGTCACCGATATTATTTTGAAAGTGGGAATCTTTTCTATAAAGGTTTAGAAATTTTTATTTATATCTTAAATGCTTGGCTGGGCTGGAAACTTACTTTTTCCTTCATGTGCTCAGAAAAGTAAAATAAATGTTATAGCATAGTTTATAAAATTATTTTGAGCAATGATTTTGTTTCCAGTTGATTCACATAATTAGAGATATTACACACCATTTTACATTATCAAACATATGTGCATCTAGTTTTTCCTGGAGTTAGGACCTAATTAAATATTTTCTGATTTGGGCCCAATTCAAGTTTCTCCTTTTCCAGCCATTCAAATGCAAGCTCTTTTGAATTCACCCACAGATTGTATTGATTCGTACAGACCTACATTTGTCTTTTGCTCAGATTGAGTCTGTGTGCAGTGGACTTGAGCAGCAGATTTTTAAAGCTCTGCCAATGTGATATGATGTTTTGAGAAAGTTTAGAGCATTCAGAGCAAACCATAATAATCTAAGTTGAGACACAGTAGAGGAAGGCTCTAACGGGAAAAGCTGCTTGATCCCAGTTCTAACAGCCAGTCGAAGAGACTTGGGGCTCCATCCCTCTGCTCCTCGTGCATTTTGCAGTACTGGACCACTGCGTGAAAGATATCCCCCACTTTCCAGGACTTCTGATGAACCAGCCGCACGACATCTAGGAACTGAAATAAAACAGAGTTAGGGTGCATGTGTCAGAGGGTCTGCAAAACCGTTTCATTTGACCACTCTTCCTAAGCTAATGACTCACTTCTGAATCATGTCAGGGGACTGTTTTCTAGGATAGTCTGTTTCCTCTTCAGAATTTTTAGATCAATAGAAAAATCCCTTCAACTAAATTGGGATTTTCCTCCCAGCAGTTGCTATTTATTGATAAGAGGGGAGTAAATGGAATCAGGTTCACTGATCAAGGAGTCAATCTACTCAATATTTAGAGTCTCCTCAGGTCTGTTTTTCTCTGGGTGGGCCTTTCAGTAACAGAACTGTACATCTGTCTTCCAATTCCTCTGCCTACAGAACAAAGATTCTCATTGGATTTGTATATTCAGGCAAAATAATTCTGGTGCTGAATATTCAGATAGGGCCATCTACTCCTTCCCCATTCCAGCTTGAAGAGCAGCCCTTCACCCTGGGTGCTAAGCTAAAGCCTCAAGAGAGGATGGCTTTGCAGAGCAACAGGAAAAGCAAAGAGCAAACATGGAAAAGAGGGAGGAAATGTCTGGACTAGTCAACTGATTTTTAGCATCAGCTTCAATTGGCCACGCCCCAGACGGTAAACTCTGAATTGTGGGCTTGAGGAGATAAAAGATGGGGAAATTATTGCAGGTTCTTTTCCCCATGAAAAATACAGGTGTGATAAAATACAGGGTGAAGACCTCCCAAACTACTTGGCCACTTTTTGAGGAAAGTAACAAGTAGCATGACCAGAAATTGTAGGAAGTACTTAACTATATGTAACTTCACTCACTTCTGTCATCATGGGAAGTAAGCATTTACAGGTGAAATAATGGTGGGTTTGAGAGGTGAAAAGTTGGCCATAGGATTATGGTCTTTAACATGTCAGTCCAATGTTCTTTTTACTACAACCTCCTTCTGTATGTTGGTGGCAGGAGAATACAGAGCTGATATCTATTTGGAGGGTTAGGCGAAAGAATGATTACCTGGTACATTTTATGAGAAGGAAAGTCATATTTGTTGGAAAGATGAGAATTGTGATTCAGTTTCTAGCCCTTCAATGGTTCCTTTTAGGTTTTTGGGGGAGTCATTTTATTTATTTGGAAGTGTGTGTGTGTGTGTGTGTGAGAGAGAGAGAGAGAGACAGAGAGACAGAGAGACAGAGAGATACAGATGTGGGCAGCCTCAGGCAGGCACCCCTCTTGTTTACACTTAAACATCTGGATGGAGACATCCTGGCACAGACAAAAGGCTAAGGAGATTCCAGGAAGAGGCAGGAAGAACCCTATCTCAGGGCTAAACTTCTTACAAGAGATGATGTAGATAATCAGTCACACCTGAAACTTGCATTTATCACATAGGTGTTTTACTATACCCTGTAATCAATGATTGATAACATTTTACGATCTGTTAAGTGGAAGAACCTTGTGGGGAACTCTTTGTAACCCCAAAAGTCTTTTAGATATGTAAATCTTTTGTGTGCCTTCTTGTATACAACTGGTCATGTTTAAATACTACTGGACTTGTTGAATAAATGAGCCTTGAGCAGTATTTGTCTTGGCTCCATTCTTTGCGTCCTTGTCCCCACATTCCCACTCTCTGTTTCAGAAAACCCGGTTCTTTGTTCTGCAGGCTGGCACATACAGAGATCTTCTACCCACTGGTTCACCTTCCAAATACCCACAAAATCCCAGGATAACCCAAACAAAAGCCAGGAAACCAGAGCTCAATGTGGTCTCCCACATTGGTGGCAAGGTAAGGGTTCCAGTACTTGAGCCATCCCCTACTGTCTTGAATAGTGTGCATTATCAGGAAGTTAGAATTAGGAGTTGAGTCAGGGCTCAAACCTACGCATTCTGATATAGGATGTGGGTATACCAAGCAGTGCCTAGTTACCCCAAATTCTCACTCCTTTTAGGATTGTCTTATTTACCTTTTTCTGTGTTTACTCAGAGATTAGAAACCAATCAGAAACTGGAACGTTAATTATATCCAGCTTCAGTTTGCTACTTTATTTCAATTACTTAAAAGTTGTCTCATAGAGAGCCCCTATTATATTACATTTTTTTTCTCTCAGCAGTGATGACAATAACTATTGGCTTTATTGGTGCTTTATTATCCTTGCTTGTCTTATACTGTCTTAATCAAAATAAAACTATTTTCTAGGCAAGAAAATGAAAGTTAACTTTTGATATCTTGAATCATAAACATTGTATTAAAAAGTTTCAGGATGTTGTGAAAACAGAGACAGATGGGAGGCAGATGGCCACTATATTATAGATAGAAATCTTTCAGGGGAAGGACAACATCTTAGCTACCTTCTTATAAATTGTGACTGCACTTGGAGGTGTTTAATGAATACTTGCTGAAAAGACAGAAGGAATGGATGACCAAATTTGCATCAAACATATTCAAACTTCTCGTGAATGGAATGGGAGAGGGAGCAGGAGTTGGGAGGGTTGCGGGTGGGAGGGAAGTTATGGGGGAGAAAAAGCCATTGTAATCCATAAGCTGTACTCTGGAAATTTATATTTGCTAAATAAAAGTTAAAAAAAAAAACTTCTCAAGAAGACTATGTGAAATATAGATGCAGGTGGGCAGTTGGAGCAATGTTTAAGTCACTACTTGGGACACTAGCATTCTCTATCTGAGTGACTGGTTCAAGTTCCAGCCCCTCTGATTATCATGCAGCTTCCTGTTAATGCACCTGGGAGGCAGTGAATGATGACTCAAGTACTTGCATCCCATCACGATGTGGGAGACCTAACTGACATTCCTGGTTGTTCCAGGCTTTGGTCTGGTCTAACCCTGCAATTGCAGAGATTTTTGGAGTGAACTGGTAGATGGAAGATTACTCTGTCTGTCTTTCTCTATCTCCTGCCTTTCAAATAAAATAAAAATAAGTAATAAAACTAAAAAGAAAGATGGACATCTAGTGTTTTTTGAGTGTGATCCTCTGATAAGCATTCTTGAATTTTAGACAATATATTTCAAATCTGTCATTTTAAAATGAACACACATATATTGGGACTGCTTGCTCAATAGTTTTCTACTGAGAGGATGCCCTACAACCATAGCAGGAAGTCATAGATCCAGGAATAGGCAGCACAGAGCTTGGGATGGGAAAATGGTAGTGGACAAGGAACAAAGTAAAAGCTTTCTATGAGGTCTGACTCTTACCACATGGTGACTGAGATTGGGCATGTACACCGTGGACATGAGATACCTCTCTCTCTCTCTCTCTGTTATTTATTTTATTTTATTTTTTCTGCTTACTGCAGTAGGAGTGGAGGGTCACCTCCTTCAATTCCATTAATCTTAATGTTAGAAGTTCAGTGAAACTATTCATTGCTTGGAAGCCTTCACCACCCCGCCTAGTTGACATTTTAGGAAATCAGTTAAAACTGTTTTGCTCATTAAGTAAATAGTCTCAAGAAGGATGATACTCCAGACAGTTATCAGCAATTTCTCATAATATTATGTAATACATACGTATATGTGTTATAGTACAAATACAAATACAAATGAGCTGTTACTTATTCTCAGTGTATAGGGAAGCTTCAAGTCATATTTTTGATTAAAGCGGTGAAAACGATAAGTTTTAGAATAGTGATCCCTAAAGAGGTTAAGGTGGAGAGGCTAAGACGTCCTGGCATGATTCAATCAATCAATTCTTTTTCCAGCTGTTAATGGACATCCAGGAAGTAGATGTTCCTGGTAGAGAAGGCTTGCACATCAAGTTCCTGTGGTCTCATTGATAGAGCCTCGTGGGTCACTGAGGGGTCACCAATGACCTTTGACCCAAGTCATCCCCTGAGGTTGCCTCCTGTCCCTTAACATGTCTTAGAAAGTTGAATCTATGTGAAGTACTTAAAAATATAAAATTAGTCTTAGCTCCTTTTGTTTACTTCACATAAACCCTGGCTCACTGGGCCACCACCTTACCAACTTTTACCTCTGAGTCATTGCCTGGGAGAGGAAGAATCAAAGCTCTAAGGTCAGTGTCAGTCTTTGATAAGCCCTTCCCGGAAAACTCACAGCCTTATACCTCACTGGAAGCCCAATACCACTTCTTTGCATTTATTTGGGGCCTGATGACCATGACCACAGGCTGCTGCTACTGAACTCAAAGCTGTCAAAAGGCCCCACCTGCTGGGCCACTCTGACAGTATTTGTTGAATGGCCATGGGCTACAATCTATCCCCTGATTTCTAAGTCCATGTTGGCCTCCCAATAAAGCAAGTTTTGAAAATGATCTGGCTCCTCTCTATATAGCATGTTCTGAGGTTGTGATGACTTAATCTCTGACAGGGAGACCTTGAAACATCTGTGGAGCTGAGGAGCAGGAGGTCTCCTGCCTTCTTTTCATTCTTCATTTAAAAAATGTTTAGATGAATATGAAACTAGATTGTAAAGAAGCTAGCAAAGTATATTGCCAGCTTATTTCTGTAGGCCTTATAAAATCATATTCCATTGAGGGTCTGACCCTTAAGTTTCATCATGCCTGTTCACACTACTGCCTTGGTATCTTCATAATCAGCTTTATCACATCAAGGATCTGGGGTTTTCTTTCTACTGCACTGAAAAATGAAACAAATTTAAAGTTCATTTTTTTCATTTAACAATCAATAATAACTAGGATTCCTTCCTATAGATCACAGTTATCATTTCTTTGGGCAAATATTTTGTCTTAGGAAATAAGAAGAATTTATCTTCTAAAATGGTTTTAAGTCAGTAAACTCTTTTAAGGAAAAGCATCCCATGACAGATGATTTTTATATTCTCGGGTACATTTAATAAATTAATAGTTTATGAAATTGTATGGCAGACTCTATGGGAGTTATTGCAAGCTGTGCAATTTTTTGAGAACATTCAACTTTGATTGCTGAAAGCTCCAAGGCAGAATTAGATTTCATTATGTAGAATTGAGGTGGTCCCTATATTGCTCCTGGCAATTATAGTCTCCCAGGTGTAATTTTGTCTGCTTTCT